ACACAGAGAAGATAAGCCCGGCACCCTTTGCAAAAATATCCTTCTTTTTCTTCTATGTGCCTTCGGTCTTTATGTTTTGAATTGTAGTTTCACTTTCCATATTCGGTATTCATTCTAATGTAAGCTCCACGTGGCAAAAATCACGTGATGCAGGAATGTAGTATCTTGGAGTTAGGCTATTTCTTTCTTTTCGGGCGGGGACTCCAAGCAGACAACATGAATTTATATAACGGCACTGTAGATTTTCTTATTAAATAAAGAAAGTTCCCGGTCCGGTACATGAATAGATTGTTAGAAAGCAAGGTTTTAATTTTAATTAGATTGGAAAGCCTTATTTGGGGGTTGAAATTGGAGAGCACCGAAAAAGAAAGGGGGTGGGGTTTCCACAGGGAATATTTTATCTTATGAACTCAACATTCGAAAGTGTTTTTTTTTTTTATTTAATTAAAAGAGAGAAAAACAAATGTAAGACAAATTGTGAAGGATCTTTCTTCCTTTATCACGTGAGGGAATCTCGCATATATCTGGTTAACCGTCAAACCGAGTACATGTCTTTTGGTTATTTCTGTCACTAGGTGGCTGTCTCATTGACGTTTACCCCATATTTTTTCATTGAAGCACAATGCACACGTATATGTTTTAGAACATGAAGTTAAGGTTTCATGTCATGAATAATAAAGTGAAAAAAGCAAAAAAAGAGACTCAAAAAACTAAATAGAAAAAGACGAAATGATCTGATTTTCAAAAATGACCTGTTTGGTCGCTCGTAATCGATTGTCTACAAATATAGTTCCTGTCATTTGTAACGAATGTAAACTTAAATATCTGTGGTTTTTTTTTCATATAAAATTTTATGATTAAAATTATTAGTTATGTTATTTCTATTATAGTGGACTTTAAGGTATTTTTTATTATGCTTTAGAACATTAGGGCATTGTGGGACTATGTGTCAAAGGTGTATAAGGGGCAACTCGTTCTATAAAAGCCGTGACTGGTCACATGTGTCATGTGACATCATTTCATGTCTAAGCAGTTCCGAATAAGTAAATTCTTGAGTATACGCCAAGACGAGCATCAGATTTTCAACTTTTGTTTCATTTTGTAGACTGTGTACCTCAAATTTTTTAACTGGAAAAAAAAGTCTTCATCGGGAACTCTCCAGCTGAAACCTACACTCTTCAGTTTAGCAGGGACAATACTCTGTTTTTTAATTTTGTCATTTTTGCGCATGGGATCGTTAAAGACACTACCAGTCGTTCAAAGTATTGCTTGTCAAAGACATGTCTACTAAGTTAGCGAATGCTGCATTCGAATAGGGACTGTTCTATTCATTCTCAGAAATTTTGCAATCTTTTGACATAGAAATTACCCTTTTCTGTTTAAAATAGATATTCTACATTATAAGGTGTCGACATTAAGTTAGTAATGGAACTTCAATAACTTTGAAAAGTTTAATTTGTTTTAAGCCTTAAACAAAAGGTTGCCATATATGTAATATGATGGACACACCAACCTTTAAAGACAGGTCCCTTTAATGTTGCCTTATCCTCGGAAATCTTAAATATCTGATCAATACTTAATGCTGTCCCCTAAAATAGCTGACAAATATTTAAAATAGTTCTGCTTTAAAAATCATCTATTCTCCTAGTTATTCAAAATTATTAGAGGTTAAGCTTTTTCATGTCCAACGGCACATATTACAGTGTTATCCGGATTCACCATTATACGATGCGGGAAAATTGCTATTGTCAAATTCAATTTAAAAAAAAATAGATTCGTGTTTAAAAAAACTATGAGATGTGTTTGAAACGTCTAAGATATACAATGATTGATGTATTCATTGTTGGCCTTTAACGCCACTTTTATCATTATTTGCTATTTCATGGTGACCAGCTTTTTTTTGTGTGTAGAAAGCTGGGACGCCCGGAGAGAACCACTGACCTTCGGCAAGGAAACTGTCAATCCTAGTCAATTAAGATTGGAGTCGAACCAAGCTACCACGTGTAGGGTTCGAACTCTGAGATAAGCAATGAAGCAGTAACTTTCACTAATGAAAGAAACTTGTTTCTCACTTTATCCAGTTTTCGTTTGATATATAGTTTTATTTTCTATTATTCAAGTTGAAGAAGCCAAGACGTTTTAAAAATGAATTGAAGAAAAAAAGGTAGCCAAGTGCATAGTTCTTTCAAACATATTCTTTTATCGCTGAGATGCTGTCTCGTCAGTAACAGATAGAAAACTCAGGGTTAGAATTTATAGAACAGACAAGGGGCAGTGGCAAATATTTCATGTATATTATGAACACAGAGAAGATAAGCCCGGCACCCTTTGCAAAAATATCCTTCTTTTTCTTCTATGTGCCTTCGGTCTTTATGTTTTGAATTGTAGTTTCACTTTCCATATTCGGTATTCATTCTAATGTAAGCTCCACGTGGCAAAAATCACGTGATGCAGGAATGTAGTATCTTGGAGTTAGGCTATTTCTTTCTTTTCGGGCGTGGACTCCAAGCAGTCAACATAAATTTATATAACGGCACTGTAGATTTTCTTATTAAATAAAGAAAGTTCCCGGTCCGGTACATGAATAGATTGTTAGAAAGCAAGGTTTTAATTTTAATTAGATTGGAAAGCCTTATTTGGGGGTTGAAATTGGAGAGCACCGAAAAAGAAAGGGGGTGGGGTTTCCACAGGGAATATTTTATCTTATGAACTCAACATTCGAAAGTGTTTTTTTTTTTTATTTAATTAAAAGAGAGAAAAACAAATGTAAGACAAATTGTGAAGGATCTTTCTTCCTTTATCACGTGAGGGAATCTCGCATATATCTGGTTAACCGTCAAACCGAGTACATGTCTTTTGGTTATTTCTGTCACTAGGTGGCTGTCTCATTGACGTTTACCCCATATTTTTTCATTGAAGCACAATGCACACGTATATGTTTTAGAACATGAAGTTAAGGTTTCATGTCATGAATAATAAAGTGAAAAAAGCAAAAAAAGAGACTCAAAAAACTAAATAGAAAAAGACGAAATGATCTGATTTTCAAAAATGACCTGTTTGGTAGCTCGTAATCGATTGTCTACAAATATAGTTCCTGTCATTTGTAATGAATGTAAACTTTAATATCTGTGGTTTTTTTTTCATATAAAATTTTATGATTAAAATTATTAGTTATGTTATTTCTATTATAGTGGACTTTAAGGTATTTTTTATTATGCTTTAGAACATTAGGGCATTGTGGGACTATGTGTCAAAGGTGTATAAGGGGCAACTCGTTCTATAAAAGCCGTGACTGGTCACATGTGTCTTGTGACATCATTTCATGTCTAAGCAGTTCCGAATAAGTAAATTCTTGAGTATACGCCAAGACGAGCATCAGATTTTCAACTTTTGTTTCATTTTGTAGACTGTGTACCTCAAATTTTTTAACTGGAAAAAAAAGTCTTCATCGGGAACTCTCCAGCTGAAACCTACACTCTTCAGTTTAGCAGGGACAATACTCTGTTTTTTAATTTTGTCATTTTCGCGCATGGGATCGTTAAAGACACTACCAGTCGTTCAAAGTATTGCTTGTCAAAGACATGTCTACTAAGTTAGCGAATGCTGCATTCGAATAGGGACTGTTCTATTCATTCTCAGAAATTTTGCAATCTTTTGACATAGAAATTACCCTTTTCTGTTTAAAATAGATATTCTACATTATAAGGTGTCGACATTAAGTTAGTAATGGAACTTCAATAACTTTGAAAAGTTTAATTTGTTTTAAGCCTTAAACAAAAGGTTGCCATATATGTAATATGATGGACACACCAACCTTTAAAGACAGGTCCCTTTAATGTTGCCTTATCCTCGGAAATCTTAAATATCTGATCAATACTTATTGCTTTCCCCTAAAATAGCTGACAAATATTTAAAATAGTTCTGCTTTAAAAATCATCTATTCTCCTAGTTATTCAAAATTATTAGAGGTTAAGCTTTTTCATGTCCAACGGCACATATTACAGTGTTATCCGGATTCACCATTATACGATGCGGGAAAATTGCTATTGTCAAATTCAATTTAAAAAAAAATAGATTCGTGTTTAAAAAAACTATGAGATGTGTTTGAAACGTCTAAGATATACAATGATTGATGTATTCATTGTTGGCCTTTAACGCCACTTTTATCATTATTTGCTATTTCATGGTGACCAGCTTTTTTTTGTGTGTAGAAAGCTGGGACGCCCGGAGAGAACCACTGACCTTCGGCAAGGAAACTGTCAATCCTAGTCAATTAGGATTGGAGTCGAACCAAGCTACCACGTGTACACTGTAAAAACAAGTGTTTCAAAATAAAACACTTTTAAAACACATATCAGACACAGTTTTAAAACACTTTTAAGTGTTTAGTTCTAAGCACTTGTGTTTTATATAAAACGTTTAAAATGTTTTATACAGTAATCACTAATGTTTTCCTTCAAAACACACATGTTTTGTCAATAACACTATGATGTTTTACCTAAAACACTTCAGCGTTTAATATAAAACACTTTTAAGTGTTTATGAAGGAGACACACTTTTAAAACACTTTTAAGTGTTTATAAATGAGATATGTTTTTGTTTAAACACATGTGTGATTTTTTGTGTACACCGCAAGTGTTTTTGCATTGTATGTTTTGAAATGTGTGTTTTTAAAATGTGTTTTAGCTAAGCATTAGTATTGTTCCTTTTGCTCTTCAAATGACAAGATCTGTATCATTGGCTTGTATAGAAAATCTTACCACTAAAATTTGTCCTTAGTTTGCAGTTTCCTATACCCCAAATATTTTAAACTTGTCAGGTTTCATGACTGGAGTATTTTGTCATTATTTACTCATTAATGTTCGAACTAAAAAATACCCTGCATAGTGCAACCAGTTGTTTGTTTCCAAAACAAAGTACATGTTATACCAAGAGTAATCTCCTACACTAATATAAAATTTTGTATAGGCATCATAAATACTGAGAAATAAAAAAAAATGTATGAAACTTTATTCATTGCAATTATTCTTTATAAAATCACAAATATTTTCCAAGATTGATACAGTATAATAGATGTAACATGTAAAATAATATAAAGTTTCAGTCGCTATATCTGACATTTCTAATTGTTCTTGTCCCTTTCAAATATAAAGCTGATCTGAGTCCCTCCTCATGGTGGCTTTTTGTGTACTTATCCACTTCGTTTTCAACAACATTTTCATGTATGGATATGAAAGTAGTTGACTTCTTCCCTTTGCCTTTGAGTATCCAGTTTCAGGAAGAAATTTGTACTCTGCCTCCTGAAATATTGTTCAATTCATTTATGTATGGCCTTTGAAGGTAATAAAGTTTAAATTATAACTTAAAAGTGAATTTTTACTACCTAATATACTTGAATCTAGATGCCCCTTTTCTTGAAAATAATTGTGAGTTGATATATTGTCATTTTAAATAAAATCTATTTATACATTGCACAGTTAATTACAAAAAATATGCAGATATATGTGTAAAGTTCATTAAAAATCAACAGATACCAAATTTATTGTGTTCAAAGTGATTTTCTTGAGAGAAAAAAAAACCTTAACCTTGAAAACTAATGGACAAATGTTAAGACTGAGTGCGCAAAAAAAGAAAGTAAACAAATCTGAGAATTGCTGCACTGTTCCCTGATAATAATGGTTAACAGATCAGTGGTAAACCTCACTTTTCCATTATAAAAGGGTTAACTGATAAGCAATTATTCAGCTGTACTTTCATATGGGGTAAACATTATACATCTTTTTAGTTACACCATTCTATTAATAAGCAACCAATCATATTACTCTTATAAATAAAGTCCACAGTAGATACATTTCGGGGTCTAAGACCGGCTTTTATAGCTGACTATGCGTTATGGACTTTGCTCATTGTTGAAGGCCGTACGGTGACCTATAGTTGTTAATTTCTGTGTCATTTGGTCTATTGTGGAGAGTTGTCTCATTGGCAATCATACCACATCTTCTTTTTATACATATATGTTGATGTACAGATATTATGTCATATTGAATTTTTAATGGTAATATATATGACACCAGTTTATTTTCATTATAATACTCAAAATATTGATGACATCTGTCATAAAAAATGAATTATCATATCTTGTTAATATCTTAAACGAATAAAAATGATTTTGTAAATAGGAGTTGCTTGAAAAATACATGTTACTATGTAAATCTAGTCATACCTTCAATTCTTTTTTTGTTTATCTTTGGTAAGACACCTCAGAACTTTTTCAGGTTAACTTCCTATAACCATCATATTCATTTATACTTCAGCATCTTGATAAATTAAAATTCATCCAATATCTGGAACAGAAATATTTGTTTTTATGATATTTAGTCTGCAATCGTATAATTTATATGTACAATGTACGAAAATGTACATTGTTTGAATTGATAGCTTGCATTTGCACTTTTGGTTATGGGTTTTGCTCATTGTTGAAGGCCATACAGTACCCTATAGTTGCTTACTTCTACGTCATTTGTCTCTGATGGAGAGTTATCTAATTGGCAATCATACTACATTTTATTCTTATATGTACCTACATCCCATTTTTGTAATCAATACCGACAGAATGACTGAAACCTGAAACACATATTATTTTGTTTGGCATGACTCTACCAATAAATCTAAGTTTGTATTTTCAATGTTTTTTTCTGTTTTCTGCTCAATGAAATCATGGTCATATGAGGACCCTTAAGCTTACATGTAATGCTCTGGTTAAAATGTTGACTTTAAATTAAAAGGTAGACCCTGATAATATGTACTGCAACACACAAATACAAATATCTCAAAACTATTGTTTTTCTTATGCATGTATATTAACATGACTCAGTATATGTACATTTATGTTTCATTATTCAAAACAAAGTCAAGACAACTGTTTTGTTTGGAAATATTGAAGTCACAGAAGGATAGACATAGGTAGCACTATATGCCCCTGCCACTTATGGCCGGGGCATAAAAATAACATACCATGATTTCAGGTGTTTCTTCTTTTTCTTTTTTTTTTCTTTTGCCTGTTTCTGTGTTCTTCATTTTTTTTCTTTTGAATGCTGTCCAATGTACTCACTGCTGAAAAACAGTAAAATAATAGACAAATGAGGTAGTTAAATTGGATAGGCAACACAATTATGATTGCAGGCCATAAACCTAATTTGTCTTACAATCTTTAACTTTAGCCTGATATTCTACCTCCTTGTAAAGTCTTACATTTGTACAACAACTTATACTAAATAAAATGGAATTCTGAAGACAGAAGTACATTTTATTCTGAAAATTTTATATTTGTTCAGTTAACAGGTTAATTGTTGCAACCAAGGATTTGTATAGTGAGATCTCACTATACAAATCCTTGTTGCAACATAATCATGATTTTTTTTCAATATAAATATTTAAATCACTAGCATGACCTAGTCCTTGCTACAGAATGTACATATGAACTGAGACTATATAAATCTATAACAGTACATGTATAGTCTCAGGTGTAAAAAACAGAGGCGGATTTAGGGGGGGGGGGGGGGGGGGGGGTAGGGGGCCCCCATTTGTTGGTTGATTATCTAAGGAATCACTGAAGTATGACTGGAGCGGGCCCCGTCTTAGGCAGTCAGTTCCCCACCCTTATGAAAATTTCTGGATCCGCCACTGAAATTTTCTATATTTGCTACTGTACTGTCAGTAGATATCTCGATTTTCATTTGTTTTCTTTCAATTTTAATAACAGTTTACATGCAAAAGACACATACACATACATACCCACAAATCAACAAACTACATTATTAGCATGATTAGTATTACACCAGGGACTTTCTATACTAAGTACTTACTATAGAAAGTCCCTGATTACACACACATCGACACAGGAACAAAAACAGTCAAACACCTTAAGTTAACCCGACATGATGTCATGTATTTTTTCTATTGATTATGAAATAACAATTAAGAAGCATAATTTACATTTTGTAATCTTATTGTTTATATTATAGTCTTACAAAAATTAACTAACATCTTTGTTGTGACTTGTGTGTCTGTTGAAAAACTACGGGAAAATAATACAGAAGATTGCTTTCAAGGGAGAAAACTTATCTTGCTAAATATATTGGGGTCCTAAATGGGGTGATTTTCAGATGAACAAAAATACAATTTGTCGAGTATTGTCGTTCGTAAATCAGTCATTTCTTAGATTTTCTTTTGTGAATACACTTACGAAAACTAGTCAGGCTTATCACTATATCACGGCTTTCGACCAAAACATTCCACACCGGTTAACATATTAATACTAATTTGCTTGTCCGAGGATAATTCCACAATGAAATTAAACAAGAAAAGTAAAACACGAATTAGATGACAATAATGTTTATAACAATTAAACGTACCTTTTAATCCAGATTGTAATCATGATTCTTCTAGCCCTGTGTACATTTCCCTCTCAGCTGCAGCTAGGACACTGGATACCTTTGGCGGTATTAAAGGCTGGTCACGTGTGTATCATATTACGAAAACGCGAGTGTTTTTCTGTGTGTTTAGTTTTCATATGTCAAAAACGCTTATCCGTTTTGACAATATCTGAGCGATGACCCTCTGTCAATATTTATTGCTGCACCCCCGGATGATCATGTCTAGTATTTGTTTAATTTTACCCTTTTTTCAGTACTTATAGTTTTTTCAACCAAATTTCAATTATAATCCATAGGAAATCATATACAAAAAAGACCAGGAATTACTTTTCTTTATCTGAATTGCATGGTTTAAAGCTTTAGTTACATGACGTTTTTTACTATTTAAAGTGTCCGGCTTTGCTATTGAAGTTGATCACTCGACTTTATGTTGATAAATCGCTAAACAATAAATTGGGGCTATTTCTTTACCGTCATTATAAACTGTTTAAAATAAAACACGAGTGTTTAACGATAAACAGAAGAAATTTGTCAAAAGCACATATGTTTATTCTAAAACACTTGCGTCTAAAATAAAACATTTGCGATTTTCTTACAAGTGTTTGAAATGTTTTTAAAATTACACTTCTTTTTACAGTGTAGGGTTCGAACTCTGAGATAAGCAATGAAGCAGTAACTTTCACTAATGAAAGAAACTTGTTTCTCACTTTATCCAGTTTTCGTTTGATATATAGTTTTATTTTCTATTATTCAAGTTGAAGAAGCCAAGACGTTTTAAAAATGAATTGAAGAAAAAAAGGTAGCCAAGTGCATAGTTCTTTCAAACATATTCTTTTATCGCTGAGATGCTGTCTCGTCAGTAACAGATAGAAAACTCAGGGTTAGAATTTATAGAACAGACAAGGGGCAGTGGCAAATATTTCATGTATATTATGAACACAGAGAAGATAAGCCCGGCACCCTTTGCAAAAATATCCTTCTTTTTCTTCTATGTGCCTTCGGTCTTTATGTTTTGAATTGTAGTTTCACTTTCCATATTCGGTATTCATTCTAATGTAAGCTCCACGTGGCAAAAATCACGTGATGCAGGAATGTAGTATCTTGGAGTTAGGCTATTTCTTTCTTTTCGGGCGTGGACTCCAAGCAGTCAACATAAATTTATATAACGGCACTGTAGATTTTCTTATTAAATAAAGAAAGTTCCCGGTCCGGTACATGAATAGATTGTTAGAAAGCAAGGTTTTAATTTTAATTAGATTGGAAAGCCTTATTTGGGGGTTGAAATTGGAGAGCACCGAAAAAGAAAGGGGGTGGGGTTTCCACAGGGAATATTTTATCTTATGAACTCAACATTCGAAAGTGTTTTTTTTTTTTATTTAATTAAAAGAGAGAAAAACAAATGTAAGACAAATTGTGAAGGATCTTTCTTCCTTTATCACGTGAGGGAATCTCGCATATATCTGGTTAACCGTCAAACCGAGTACATGTCTTTTGGTTATTTCTGTCACTAGGTGGCTGTCTCATTGACGTTTACCCCATATTTTTTCATTGAAGCACAATGCACACGTATATGTTTTAGAACATGAAGTTAAGGTTTCATGTCATGAATAATAAAGTGAAAAAAGCAAAAAAAGAGACTCAAAAAACTAAATAGAAAAAGACGAAATGATCTGATTTTCAAAAATGACCTGTTTGGTAGCTCGTAATCGATTGTCTACAAATATAGTTCCTGTCATTTGTAATGAATGTAAACTTTAATATCTGTGGTTTTTTTTTCATATAAAATTTTATGATTAAAATTATTAGTTATGTTATTTCTATTATAGTGGACTTTAAGGTATTTTTTATTATGCTTTAGAACATTAGGGCATTGTGGGACTATGTGTCAAAGGTGTATAAGGGGCAACTCGTTCTATAAAAGCCGTGACTGGTCACATGTGTCTTGTGACATCATTTCATGTCTAAGCAGTTCCGAATAAGTAAATTCTTGAGTATACGCCAAGACGAGCATCAGATTTTCAACTTTTGTTTCATTTTGTAGACTGTGTACCTCAAATTTTTTAACTGGAAAAAAAAGTCTTCATCGGGAACTCTCCAGCTGAAACCTACACTCTTCAGTTTAGCAGGGACAATACTCTGTTTTTTAATTTTGTCATTTTCGCGCATGGGATCGTTAAAGACACTACCAGTCGTTCAAAGTATTGCTTGTCAAAGACATGTCTACTAAGTTAGCGAATGCTGCATTCGAATAGGGACTGTTCTATTCATTCTCAGAAATTTTGCAATCTTTTGACATAGAAATTACCCTTTTCTGTTTAAAATAGATATTCTACATTATAAGGTGTCGACATTAAGTTAGTAATGGAACTTCAATAACTTTGAAAAGTTTAATTTGTTTTAAGCCTTAAACAAAAGGTTGCCATATATGTAATATGATGGACACACCAACCTTTAAAGACAGGTCCCTTTAATGTTGCCTTATCCTCGGAAATCTTAAATATCTGATCAATACTTATTGCTTTCCCCTAAAATAGCTGACAAATATTTAAAATAGTTCTGCTTTAAAAATCATCTATTCTCCTAGTTATTCAAAATTATTAGAGGTTAAGCTTTTTCATGTCCAACGGCACATATTACAGTGTTATCCGGATTCACCATTATACGATGCGGGAAAATTGCTATTGTCAAATTCAATTTAAAAAAAAATAGATTCGTGTTTAAAAAAACTATGAGATGTGTTTGAAACGTCTAAGATATACAATGATTGATGTATTCATTGTTGGCCTTTAACGCCACTTTTATCATTATTTGCTATTTCATGGTGACCAGCTTTTTTTTGTGTGTAGAAAGCTGGGACGCCCGGAGAGAACCACTGACCTTCGGCAAGGAAACTGTCAATCCTAGTCAATTAGGATTGGAGTCGAACCAAGCTACCACGTGTACACTGTAAAAACAAGTGTTTCAAAATAAAACACTTTTAAAACACATATCAGACACAGTTTTAAAACACTTTTAAGTGTTTAGTTCTAAGCACTTGTGTTTTATATAAAACGTTTAAAATGTTTTATACAGTAATCACTAATGTTTTCCTTCAAAACACACATGTTTTGTCAATAACACTATGATGTTTTACCTAAAACACTTCAGCGTTTAATATAAAACACTTTTAAGTGTTTATGAAGGAGACACACTTTTAAAACACTTTTAAGTGTTTATAAATGAGATATGTTTTTGTTTAAACACATGTGTGATTTTTTGTGTACACCGCAAGTGTTTTTGCATTGTATGTTTTGAAATGTGTGTTTTTAAAATGTGTTTTAGCTAAGCATTAGTATTGTTCCTTTTGCTCTTCAAATGACAAGATCTGTATCATTGGCTTGTATAGAAAATCTTACCACTAAAATTTGTCCTTAGTTTGCAGTTTCCTATACCCCAAATATTTTAAACTTGTCAGGTTTCATGACTGGAGTATTTTGTCATTATTTACTCATTAATGTTCGAACTAAAAAATACCCTGCATAGTGCAACCAGTTGTTTGTTTCCAAAACAAAGTACATGTTATACCAAGAGTAATCTCCTACACTAATATAAAATTTTGTATAGGCATCATAAATACTGAGAAATAAAAAAAAATGTATGAAACTTTATTCATTGCAATTATTCTTTATAAAATCACAAATATTTTCCAAGATTGATACAGTATAATAGATGTAACATGTAAAATAATATAAAGTTTCAGTCGCTATATCTGACATTTCTAATTGTTCTTGTCCCTTTCAAATATAAAGCTGATCTGAGTCCCTCCTCATGGTGGCTTTTTGTGTACTTATCCACTTCGTTTTCAACAACATTTTCATGTATGGATATGAAAGTAGTTGACTTCTTCCCTTTGCCTTTGAGTATCCAGTTTCAGGAAGAAATTTGTACTCTGCCTCCTGAAATATTGTTCAATTCATTTATGTATGGCCTTTGAAGGTAATAAAGTTTAAATTATAACTTAAAAGTGAATTTTTACTACCTAATATACTTGAATCTAGATGCCCCTTTTCTTGAAAATAATTGTGAGTTGATATATTGTCATTTTAAATAAAATCTATTTATACATTGCACAGTTAATTACAAAAAATATGCAGATATATGTGTAAAGTTCATTAAAAATCAACAGATACCAAATTTATTGTGTTCAAAGTGATTTTCTTGAGAGAAAAAAAAACCTTAACCTTGAAAACTAATGGACAAATGTTAAGACTGAGTGCGCAAAAAAAGAAAGTAAACAAATCTGAGAATTGCTGCACTGTTCCCTGATAATAATGGTTAACAGATCAGTGGTAAACCTCACTTTTCCATTATAAAAGGGTTAACTGATAAGCAATTATTCAGCTGTACTTTCATATGGGGTAAACATTATACATCTTTTTAGTTACACCATTCTATTAATAAGCAACCAATCATATTACTCTTATAAATAAAGTCCACAGTAGATACATTTCGGGGTCTAAGACCGGCTTTTATAGCTGACTATGCGTTATGGACTTTGCTCATTGTTGAAGGCCGTACGGTGACCTATAGTTGTTAATTTCTGTGTCATTTGGTCTATTGTGGAGAGTTGTCTCATTGGCAATCATACCACATCTTCTTTTTATACATATATGTTGATGTACAGATATTATGTCATATTGAATTTTTAATGGTAATATATATGACACCAGTTTATTTTCATTATAATACTCAAAATATTGATGACATCTGTCATAAAAAATGAATTATCATATCTTGTTAATATCTTAAACGAATAAAAATGATTTTGTAAATAGGAGTTGCTTGAAAAATACATGTTACTATGTAAATCTAGTCATACCTTCAATTCTTTTTTTGTTTATCTTTGGTAAGACACCTCAGAACTTTTTCAGGTTAACTTCCTATAACCATCATATTCATTTATACTTCAGCATCTTGATAAATTAAAATTCATCCAATATCTGGAACAGAAATATTTGTTTTTATGATATTTAGTCTGCAATCGTATAATTTATATGTACAATGTACGAAAATGTACATTGTTTGAATTGATAGCTTGCATTTGCACTTTTGGTTATGGGTTTTGCTCATTGTTGAAGGCCATACAGTACCCTATAGTTGCTTACTTCTACGTCATTTGTCTCTGATGGAGAGTTATCTAATTGGCAATCATACTACATTTTATTCTTATATGTACCTACATCCCATTTTTGTAATCAATACCGACAGAATGACTGAAACCTGAAACACATATTATTTTGTTTGGCATGACTCTACCAATAAATCTAAGTTTGTATTTTCAATGTTTTTTTCTGTTTTCTGCTCAATGAAATCATGGTCATATGAGGACCCTTAAGCTTACATGTAATGCTCTGGTTAAAATGTTGACTTTAAATTAAAAGGTAGACCCTGATAATATGTACTGCAACACACAAATACAAATATCTCAAAACTATTGTTTTTCTTATGCATGTATATTAACATGACTCAGTATATGTACATTTATGTTTCATTATTCAAAACAAAGTCAAGACAACTGTTTTGTTTGGAAATATTGAAGTCACAGAAGGATAGACATAGGTAGCACTATATGCCCCTGCCACTTATGGCCGGGGCATAAAAATAACATACCATGATTTCAGGTGTTTCTTCTTTTTCTTTTTTTTTTCTTTTGCCTGTTTCTGTGTTCTTCATTTTTTTTCTTTTGAATGCTGTCCAATGTACTCACTGCTGAAAAACAGTAAAATAATAGACAAATGAGGTAGTTAAATTGGATAGGCAACACAATTATGATTGCAGGCCATAAACCTAATTTGTCTTACAATCTTTAACTTTAGCCTGATATTCTACCTCCTTGTAAAGTCTTACATTTGTACAACAACTTATACTAAATAAAATGGAATTCTGAAGACAGAAGTACATTTTATTCTGAAAATTTTATATTTGTTCAGTTAACAGGTTAATTGTTGCAACCAAGGATTTGTATAGTGAGATCTCACTATACAAATCCTTGTTGCAACATAATCATGATTTTTTTTCAATATAAATATTTAAATCACTAGCATGACCTAGTCCTTGCTACAGAATGTACATATGAACTGAGACTATATAAATCTATAACAGTACATGTATAGTCTCAGGTGTAAAAAACAGAGGCGGATTTAGGGGGGGGGGGGGGGGGGGGGGTAGGGGGCCCCCATTTGTTGGTTGATTATCTAAGGAATCACTGAAGTATGACTGGAGCGGGCCCCGTCTTAGGCAGTCAGTTCCCCACCCTTATGAAAATTTCTGGATCCGCCACTGAAATTTTCTATATTTGCTACTGTACTGTCAGTAGATATCTCGATTTTCATTTGTTTTCTTTCAATTTTAATAACAGTTTACATGCAAAAGACACATACACATACATACCCACAAATCAACAAACTACATTATTAGCATGATTAGTATTACACCAGGGACTTTCTATACTAAGTACTTACTATAGAAAGTCCCTGATTACACACACATCGACACAGGAACAAAAACAGTCAAACACCTTAAGTTAACCCGACATGATGTCATGTATTTTTTCTATTGATTATGAAATAACAATTAAGAAGCATAATTTACATTTTGTAATCTTATTGTTTATATTATAGTCTTACAAAAATTAACTAACATCTTTGTTGTGACTTGTGTGTCTGTTGAAAAACTACGGGAAAATAATACAGAAGATTGCTTTCAAGGGAGAAAACTTATCTTGCTAAATATATTGGGGTCCTAAATGGGGTGATTTTCAGATGAACAAAAATACAATTTGTCGAGTATTGTCGTTCGTAAATCAGTCATTTCTTAGATTTTCTTTTGTGAATACACTTACGAAAACTAGTCAGGCTTATCACTATATCACGGCTTTCGACCAAAACATTCCACACCGGTTAACATATTAATACTAATTTGCTTGTCCGAGGATAATTCCACAATGAAATTAAACAAGAAAAGTAAAACACGAATTAGATGACAATAATGTTTATAACAATTAAACGTACCTTTTAATCCAGATTGTAATCATGATTCTTCTAGCCCTGTGTACATTTCCCTCTCAGCTGCAGCTAGGACACTGGATACCTTTGGCGGTATTAAAGGCTGGTCACGTGTGTATCATATTACGAAAACGCGAGTGTTTTTCTGTGTGTTTAGTTTTCATATGTCAAAAACGCTTATCCGTTTTGACAATATCTGAGCGATGACCCTCTGTCAATATTTATTGCTGCACCCCCGGATGATCATGTCTAGTATTTGTTTAATTTTACCCTTTTTTCAGTACTTATAGTTTTTTCAACCAAATTTCAATTATAATCCATAGGAAATCATATACAAAAAAGACCAGGAATTACTTTTCTTTATCTGAATTGCATGGTTTAAAGCTTTAGTTACATGACGTTTTTTACTATTTAAAGTGTCCGGCTTTGCTATTGAAGTTGATCACTCGACTTTATGTTGATAAATCGCTAAACAATAAATTGGGGCTATTTCTTTACCGTCATTATAAACTGTTTAAAATAAAACACGAGTGTTTAACGATAAACAGAAGAAATTTGTCAAAAGCACATATGTTTATTCTAAAACACTTGCGTCTAAAATAAAACATTTGCGATTTTCTTACAAGTGTTTGAAATGTTTTTAAAATTACACTTCTTTTTACAGTGTAGGGTTCGAACTCTGAGATAAGCAATGAAGCAGTAACTTTCACTAATGAAAGAAACTTGTTTCTCACTTTATCCAGTTTTCGTTTGATATATAGTTTTATTTTCTATTATTCAAGTTGAAGAAGCCAAGACGTTTTAAAAATGAATTGAAGAAAAAAAGGTAGCCAAGTGCATAGTTCTTTCAAACATATTCTTTTATCGCTGAGATGCTGTCTCGTCAGTAACAGATAGAAAACTCAGGGTTAGAATTTATAGAACAGACAAGGGGCAGTGGCAAATATTTCATGTATATTATGAACACAGAGAAGATAAGCCCGGCACCCTTTGCAAAAATATCCTTCTTTTTCTTCTATGTGCCTTCGGTCTTTATGTTTTGAATTGTAGTTTCACTTTCCATATTCGGTATTCATTCTAATGTAAGCTCCACGTGGCAAAAATCACGTGATGCAGGAATGTAGTATCTTGGAGTTAGGCTATTTCTTTCTTTTCGGGCGTGGACTCCAAGCAGACAACATGAATTTATATAACGGCACTGTAGATTTTCTTATTAAATAAAGAAAGTTCCCGGTCCGGTACATGAATAGATTGTTAGAAAGCAAGGTTTTAATTTTAATTAGATTGGAAAGCCTTATTTGGGGGTTGAAATTGGAGAGCACCGAAAAAGAAAGGGGGTGGGGTTTCCACAGGGAATATTTTATCTTATGAACTCAACATTCGAAAGTGTTTTTTTTTTTTATTTAATTAAAAGATAGAAAAACAAATGTAAGACAAATTGTGAAGGATCTTTCTTCCTTTATCACGTGAGGGAATCTCGCATATATCTGGTTAACCGTCAAACCGAGTACATGTCTTTTGGTTATTTCTGTCACTAGGTGGCTGTCTCATTGACGTTTACCCCATATTTTTTCATTGAAGCACAATGCACACGTATATGTTTTAGAACATGAAGTTAAGGTTTCATGTCATGAATAATAAAGTGAAAAAAGCAAAAAAAGAGACTCAAAAAACTAAATAGAAAAAGACGAAATGATCTGATTTTCAAAAATGACCTGTTTGGTCGCTCGTAATCGATTGTCTACAAATATAGTTCCTGTCATTTGTAATGAATGTAAACTTTAATATCTGTGGTTTTTTTTTCATATAAAATTTTATGATTAAAATTATTAGTTATGTTATTTCTATTATAGTGGACTTTAAGGTATTTTTTATTATGCTTTAGAACATTAGGGCATTGTGGGACTATGTGTCAAAGGTGTATAAGGGGCAACTCGTTCTATAAAAGCCGTGACTGGTCACATGTGTCTTGTGACATCATTTCATGTCTCAGCAGTTCCGAATAAGTAAATTCTTGAGTATACGCTAAGACGAGCATCAGATTTTCAACTTTTGTTTCATTTTGTAGACTGTGTACCTCAAATTTTTTAACTGGAAAAAAAAGTCTTCATCGGGAACTCTCCAGCTGAAACCTACACTCTTCAGTTTAGAAGGGACAATACTCTGTTTTTTAATTTTGTCATTTTTGCGCATGGGATCGTTAAAGACACTACCAGTCGTTCAAAGTATTGCTTGTCAAAGACATGTCTACTAAGTTAGCGAATGCTGCATTCGAATAGGGACTGTTCTATTCATTCTCAGAAATTTTGCAATCTTTTGACATAGAAATTACCCTTTTCTGTTTAAAATAGATATTCTACATTATAAGGTGTCGACATTAAGTTAGTAATGGAACTTCAATAACTTTGAAAAGGTTAATTTGTTTTAAGCCTTAAACAAAAGGTTGCCATATATGTAATATGATGGACACACCAACCTTTAAAGACAGGTCCCTTTAATGTTGCCTTATCCTCGGAAATCTTAAATATCTGATCAATACTTATTGTTTTCCCCTAAAATAGCTGACAAATATTTAAAATAGTTCTGCTTTAAAAATCATCTATTCTCCTAGTTATTCAAAATTATTAGAGGTTAAGCTTTTTCATGTCCAACGGCACATATTACAGTGTTATCCGGATTCACCATTATACGATGCGGGAAAATTGCTATTGTCAAATTCAATTTAAAAAAAAATAGATTCGTGTTTAAAAAAACTATGAGATGTGTTTGAAACGTCTAAGATATACAATGATTGATGTATTCATTGTTGGCCTTTAACGCCACTTTTATCATTATTTGCTATTTCATGGTGACCAGCTTTTTTTTGTGTGTAGAAAGCTGGGACGCCCGGAGAGAACCACTGACCTTCGGCAAGGAAACTGTCAATCCTAGTCAATTAAGATTGGAGTCGAACCAAGCTACCACGTGTAAGGTTCGAACTCTGAGATAAGCAATGAAGCAGTAACTTTCACTAATGAAAGAAACTTGTTTCTCACTTTATCCAGTTTTCGTTTGATATATAGTTTTATTTTCTATTATTCAAGTTGAAGAAGCCAAGACGTTTTAAAAATGAATTGAAGAAAAAAAGGTAGCCAAGTGCATAGTTCTTTCAAACATATTCTTTTATCGCTGAGATGCTGTCTCGTCAGTAACAGATAGAAAACTCAGGGTTAGAATTTATAGAACAGACAAGGGGCAGTGGCAAATATTTCATGTATATTATGAACACAGAGAAGATAAGCCCGGCACCCTTTGCAAAAATATCCTTCTTTTTCTTCTATGTGCCTTCGGACTTTATGTTTTGAATTGTAGTTTCACTTTCCATATTCGGTATTCATTCTAATGTAAGCTCCACGTGGCAAAAATCACGTGATGCAGGAATGTAGTATCTTGGAGTTAGGCTATTTCTTTCTTTTCGGGCGGGGACTCCAAGCAGACAACATGAATTTATATAACGGCACTGTAGATTTTCTTATTAAATAAAGAAAGTTCCCGGTCCGGTACATGAATAGATTGTTAGAAAGCAAGGTTTTAATTTTAATTAGATTGGAAAGCCTTATTTGGGGGTTGAAATTGGAGAGCACCGAAAAAGAAAGGGGGTGGGGTTTCCACAGGGAATATTTTATCTTATGAACTCAACATTCGAAAGTTTTTTTTTTTTTTATTTAATTAAAAGAGAGAAAAACAAATGTAAGACAAATTGTGAAGGATCTTTCTTCCTTTATCACGTGAGGGAATCTCGCATATATCTGGTTAACCGTCAAACCGAGTACATGTCTTTTGGTTATTTCTGTCACTAGGTGGCTGTCTCATTGACGTTTACCCCATATTTTTTCATTGAAGCACAATGCACACGTATATGTTTTAGAACATGAAGTTAAGGTTTCATGTCATGAATAATAAAGTGAAAAAAGCAAAAAAAGAGACTCAAAAAACTAAATAGAAAAAGACGAAATGATCTGATTTTCAAAAATGACCTGTTTGGTCGCTCGTAATCGATTGTCTACAAATATAGTTCCTGTCATTTGTAATGAATGTAAACTTTAATATCTGTGGTTTTTTTTTCATATAAAATTTTATGATTAAAATTATTAGTTATGTTATTTCTATTATAGTGGACTTTAAGGTATTTTTTATTATGCTTTAGAACATTAGGGCATTGTGGGACTATGTGTCAAAGGTGTATAAGGGGCAACTCGTTCTATAAAAGCCGTGACTGGTCACATGTGTCTTGTGACATCATTTCATGTCTAAGCAGTTCCGAATAAGTAAATTCTTGAGTATACGCCAAGACGAGCATCAGATTTTCAACTTTTGTTTCATTTTGTAGACTGTGTACCTCAAATTTTTTAACTGGAAAAAAAAGTCTTCATCGGGAACTCTCCAGCTGAAACCTACACTCTTCAGTTTAGCAGGGACAATACTCTGTTTTTTAATTTTGTCATTTTTGCGCATGGGATCGTTAAAGACACTACCAGTCGTTCAAAGTATTGCTTGTCAAAGACATGTCTACTAAGTTAGCGAATGCTGCATTCGAATAGGGACTGTTCTATTCATTCTCAGAAATTTTGCAATCTTTTGACATAGAAATTACCCTTTTCTGTTTAAAATAGATATTCTACATTATAAGGTGTCGACATTAAGTTAGTAATGGAACTTCAATAACTTTGAAAAGTTTAATTTGTTTTAAGCCTTAAACAAAAGGTTGCCATATATGTAATATGATGGACACACCAACCTTTAAAGACAGGTCCCTTTAATGTTGCCTTATCCTCGGAAATCTTAAATATCTGATCAATACTTATTGCTTTCCCCTAAAATAGCTGACAAATATTTAAAATAGTTCTGCTTTAAAAATCATCTATTCTCCTAGTTATTCAAAAATTATTAGAGGTTAAGCTTTTTCATGTCCAACGGCACATATTACAGTGTTATCCGGATTCACCATTATACGATGCGGGAAAATTGCTATTGTCAAATTCAATTTAAAAAAAAATAGATTCGTGTTTAAAAAAACTATGAGATGTGTTTGAAACGTCTAAGATATACAATGATTGATGTATTCATTGTTGGCTTTTAACGCCACTTTTATCATTATTTGCTATTTCATGGTGACCAGCTTTTTTTGTGTGTAGAAAGCTGGGACGCCCGGAGAGAACCACTGACCTTCGGCAAGGAAACTGTCAATCCTAGTCAATTAAGATTGGAGTCGAACCAAGCTACCACGTGTAAGGTTCGAACTCTGAGATAAGCAATGAAGCAGTAACTTTCACTAATGAAAGAAACTTGTTTCTCACTTTATCCAGTTTTCGTTTGATATATAGTTTTATTTTCTATTATTCAAGTTGAAGAAGCCAAGACGTTTTAAAAATGAATTGAAGAAAAAAAGGTAGCCAAGTGCATAGTTCTTTCAAACATATTCTTTTATCGCTGAGATGCTGTCTCGTCAGTAACAGATAGAAAACTCAGGGTTAGAATTTATAGAACAGACAAGGG